CAATGGTGCACCATTGGCCTTTTTACAGTGTGCATGAATATATATTTTCCTTGAATCTTAATTTAGTTTCAGAGTTTTTGTCTTGAAATTCTTAGTTCCTTCATTGCGGTTTGTTCTTATGCCCTTTTTATAGTTCTTTTTGTGTCTTAAAATTTACTTGTAATTAAATCATTAAATGTTACTGTTTTTTTCGGGCATTTCATTTTCTTGCAATTGAATTTTGTTTTCAGTGGTCATTGCATTTAAGTGTCTTGAATAAATAAGATAATAATGAAACACATGTATCACAAAGTTTGGGAGTAAAGTGATGGGTGGCATCAGAATTTTTCACACAGTTGAGATATGGGAAAAAGACTTGAAATAAATTATTTGCATCGATATGCCCTGATGAAAATTTTAAAGAAAACAAAAAATGTGTTTGCATAAATTGAAGAATTATTTTCCTGTGTTGTGATTGAGAGGTTATGTTGGGGGAGGGGAGCGATGATAACTTCCTCAATGGCTCAAGGGGGCGATTCTTTCAAAAAGGTTAAAACCACTGCTGTACTCTATAGAGCTTTGTGATAGTTTGCAGTGGGAGAATCATTATTCTGCTTTTTGAGGCACACCATTATTTGATGAGCCATCAAGTTTAAGAGGCCATTGGTACATAAAGCATAATCTTAACCAAAATAGAAAAACAAGAATATAAACACTTTTAAATTATTCTCAGCACACAAACTAATTAAAAAAAGATGTAGTAGAAACAAAGAGTTGAAAAATTGCTCTTGATGTGCCATTGTGGCTTATAATTTAGTCTTTGTCTGAAGACGGTATATGCAGAGAGGTCAACAGGTTAAATAGTCATTGTTTGAAATACCAGATAATACTTAGCTTCATAGGAAAAGGTGAAATGTCTTCTTTTTTTCTGCTCCTTCAAATTATTCTAGAGGCCAAGTTTAATGCTTTGGGGGTTCTTGGCTGGGTAGAGAACAAAAATCGTGGATGTTCTTCTTTGTAATGTAGATTTAATATAGCAATCATTTTTTAAAATGCTATTTAGAAGTAAAACAGATGGGAAAGAGAGTGAACTGAATTAGGTCTTCACATATTTCATACACTAAATTAAGAGTATCAACTGCATGCCAGGTTTTAAAAATAGCACATATTCTTACTGTGGTTAATGCAATCTGTAGTCTGTGTCATCAGCTTGAATCTAAAAGTATCAAAGTTATAGTTAGTAGGTTTGCTTATTTCCCTTTTCCTACATTCTGGACTGAATGTGTAATGCAAACACTTAAGAGCCATGGTAGTGCAGTGGTAGAGTGTAGTAATGCAGGCTACTTCTGCTGATTGCCGACTGCTTGCTATTTTGGTCAGTTCAAATCTCACCAGGCTCAAGGTTGGCTCCATCCTTCTGAGGTAGGTAAAATGAGAACTCAAATTTTTGGGGGCAATATGATGACTCTATAAACCGCTTAGAGAGGACTGTAAAGTACTGTAAAGTGGTTCATAAGTCTAAGTGCTATTGCTATTATGTACATTGTGTGGCATTTTGTTAGCAACTAACAATGGATCTCACTTTTCCCTGTGCACCAGGACAGCTATTCTTGCTTTCCATATTACTATATTACTATTTGATTATAACAATCCAACTATTCAGGAAACTACAGTAAAATTGTATTTGCCAAAAAAAAAAAAAAAAAGAATAGGCATTATGATATAAACATATGTTACTAATCAGGTAAATCTAGTGTATTAACCACAGAAACTAATGGGATGCAAGAATGACAGTTGAAATATATTTGTTTTATCACTAACATTTTGTTAATAGGGATTAACAGTTGTCTCGTGTTATTCCTTTGAGAATTAGGATATGAAATTGCTTACATGTTTACAGTTTAATCTCCTTCGATATATGCTTCTAATATTAATTATGCAATAGCACTTAAGCTTTACTAATGCAATATTATTAAATTATCACATCAAATTGTTGTGTACCATCAGTGAGTCACTTTGTGCCTCTCAGATGCTGTTATTCATGGTCTATTGGGTAAAATGCTAGAAATGAAAGAAACAGAAATATGAAATTAGAAATACTTCTGAAAAATTGGGGAACTCACAGGGCCATAGATGGACAAATATTAGGTAAACAAGTCAAAAAACAACAATTAGCCAGAATAAGCAGAAACCCTATTTATGAATTCAGTTTACTATTAGTAGATATAACATGGAAGAACATGAAAGCAACTCCTGTATCTAAGCTATCCAGCATGACACTCAA